CAGCCATGGTCAGGGCACAACATGCGGAAGGCAACCAATCAATGTGTCTCTCTCACATCAGTACCTATCTCTCTCTCTCTCTCTCTCTCTCCCCCTCTTACTTCCACTCTCTCTGAAAAAGCAATGGAACAAATATCCTCGGGTGAGGAAATAAATAAGTAAATAAATAAATGTGAAACATTACATAAATTGAACGACCAAAATCACATGATCATATAAATAGATGCAGAAAAGGCATTCGACAAAATCCAACACAAGGGTGGGAATAGAGGAATCACACCGCAACGTAAAAAGGCATATATGACAAACCTACAGTCAACATCATACTCAATAGGTAAAAACTAAAACCACTTCCCCGAAGAACAGGAGCAAGACGGGTGTCTACTTTCACCACTTGCACTCAACAAAGTACTAGAAGCCCTAGCCACAGCACTCAGACAAGAAGAAAAAATAAAAGGCATCCATATTGGAAAGGATACAAAACTGTCATTATTTGCAGATGACATGATATTGTACACAGAAAGCCTTAAAGACTCCACCAAAAAAATTACTAGATTTAATAAATAAGTTCAGCAATGTAGCAAGATACAAAATTAACACCCAGAAATCAATGGCATTTTTATACACCACTAATGAACTCTCAAGACAGAGAAACTAAAAAAAAAATCCCATTTACCACTGTAACAAATAAATTAAGATACTTAGGAATAAACTTAACCAAGGAGGCAAAAGACCTGTACTTGGAAAACTACAGGACATTGAAAAAAGAGATAAAAGATATAAACACGTGGAAGAATATACCGTGTTCACGGACTGGTAGAACTAATATCATTAAAATGTCCATACTGCCCAAAGTAATCTATACATTGAATGCAATCCCTATCAAAATACCAATGGCATATTTCACAGATCTAAAACAATTACTCAAAAAATTTATATGGAACCAAAGAAGACCATGAATAGCCACAGCAATCTTAAGAAAGAAGGATCAAGTTGGAGGGATCACAATACCAGATATCAAACTATACTACAAAGCCACTGTAATCAAAACAGTCTGGTACCAGCACAAGAACAGGCATATAGATCAATGGAACAGAACAGAGACCCCAGGAAATTGACCCACACCATTACGGTCAATTGATATTTGACAAAGGAAGCAAGAGGCATACAATGGAGTAAAGACAGTTTCTTCAATAAATGGTGTTGGGAAATCTGGACAGGTACATGCAAAAAAATGAAACTAGACTACCAACTTACACCATACACAAGAATGAACTCAAAATGGATAAAAGACTTAAATAAGTCGTGAAACCATAAAAGTCCTAGAAGAAAACATACGCAGCAAAATATCAGACATCTCATGTAGCAGAATTTTCAGATACTATGCCTAGGGCAAGAGAAACAAAGGAGAGAAGAAACAAATGGGACTACATCAAAATAAAATACTTCTGCAGAGCAAAAGAAACTAGCAAGCAACAAAATGAAAAGGGATTCCAGTGCATGGGAGAACATATTTGCCAATGATACATGTGATAAGGGGTTCATTTCCAAAATATACAAAGTATTCACACAACTCAACAAAAGAGAGAACAAAGTTGGAGGGATCACCATACCAGATATCAAACTATATTACAAAGTATAGTTTACAATTAAAAAAATGGGCAGACGCCCAGCCGGGCATGGCTCAGCGGTTGGGCATCGAACTAGGATCCAGGAGATCAAGGTTCGATTCCCAGTCAGGGCACATGCTCAGGTTGAGGGCTCAATCCCCAATGACTCTCTCATCGTGGGTGTTTCTATCTCTCTCTCCCTCTCCTTTCCTCTCTCTGAAATCAATAAAGACATATATAAAAATTAAAAAAAAAAAAAAATGGGCAGAGGACCTGGACACTTCTCCAAAGACGACATACAAGCGGCCAAGAGACATATGAAAAAAATGCTCTACCCTGGATGGTCTGGCTCAGTGGTTAGAAAGTCAGCCCGGGGACGGAAGGGTTCCAGGTTCAATTCCAGCCAAGGGCATGTAACTGGGTTGCAGGCTCCATCCCAGGCCCAGTCGGGGCAAGTGCAGGAGGCAACCAATTGATGTGGTGTCTCTCTCACACATCAATGTTTCTCTCTCTCTCTTCCACTCTCACTGAAAAGCAATGAGAAAAATATCCTCAGGTGAGGATTAAAAAAAAAAGCTCAATGTCACTAATTATCAGAGAGATGCAAATATAACCAACAACAAGGTATCACTTCACAAATGCCAGAATGGCTATCATCAGTAAATCAACAAACAAGTGTTAGTGAGGATGTGGAGAAAAAGGAACCCTAGTACACTGCTGGTGGGAATGCAGACTGGTACAGCCACTGTGGAAAACAGTATGGAGGTTCCTTAAAACTAAAAATGGAACTGCCATTTGACCCAGTGATCCCATTTGTAGAATATATCCTAAGAAGCTAGAAACACCAATCAGAAAGAATATATGCACCCCTACATTCATAGCAGCATTATTTACAATAGTTAAGATCTGGAAACAGCCCAAGTGCCCATCAGTAGATGAGTGGATTAGAAAACTGTGGTACAGCCCTAGCCAGTTTGACTCTGTGGTTACAGCATTTGCCCGCAGACTGAAGGGTCCCAGGTACCTCATTTGCAGGCTTGATCCTCAGCTCCAGTTGGGGCAGGTGCAGGAGGCAACCAATCGATGTCTCTCTCTCTCTCTCTCCCCCTTCCCTCTCTCCATTCCACTCTCTCTAAAAAGCAAGGGGGGGGGGGAAATTATCCTCGGTGAGGATTAAAAACAAACAAAAAAACTGTGGTACATTTACACAATGGAATACTATGAAGCTGTAAAAGAGAAGTATCTCTAACCCTTTGAGACAGCATGGAGGGACCTGCAGAGTATCATGCTAAGTGAAATAAGCCAGTCAGAGAAAGACAAGTATTACATGATCTCACTTATATGTGGAATCTAATGAACAAAATAAATCAAAAGACACTGAAATATGCAACAGACTGAAGTATTTCAGAGGGAAGGGGGTAGCAGGACAGGAAGAGATTAACCAAAGAACTCATATGCATGTATGCATTGCCCATGGACAGACAATAGTGCAGGGAAGGCCTGGGGAGTGGGCAGGAGCAGTTGGAGGGG